TTGTTCAAATTATACAAACTCCCATGCTTTCAGTCTTTCTGCAAATCCCCAGATGGACCATTCTGGTGTAAAGTGTTCTGATGATTATCTGTTCAGAGACAGTTTTTCCTTTCAGAAGATAAGCAAAGTCGCATGAAATATGTCAACAGCCAGAGAAGGGAGGAAAAAAAAAAAAAAATCTAGGAATAGTATGAAAAAGACAACTAACTTTTGGACCAATCAACCAGAATAGTAGCTATACTGGTTAATATTTTGTAAGTAGACATTTTGCTTAAAACACTCTTTGAAGAAATGCTTGCTGTTTCTGTGAACCCTTAGTATGCAAGTCTCAACTTTATGAGCATCAGTTACTTAGAGGATTCACAACTGTTCTGTGAAGTGAAAGACTTTATACGTGAGAATCAGAGGCAGACAGACCACAGCTTTTCCATAACTCAGCAAAAAAAAAAAAAAAAAAAAATCGGGGACAGAACTTAGAAATGAACTGAGGAATCCTGTCTTCTGCATTTCCTTGATGTTTTTTTAAGCATCCTTCCTTCTACAACAAAAATAGTGGTTTTAGTATACTCTGCCTCAGAATAGCACCTGATTCTCCCATCAGCACACTGAGGTACTAATACAGAACCAGTGACACGACCTAGTTCATAATGTTCCCCCAGAGAACATCCCACAGCCTGCTCTGTATGTAGGTGTATTTGTGTGTGTGTTTTGCTTCTGGTTTGTTTTTTTTTTTCTTTTTTCTTTTGCGTGTGTGTGTGTGTGTGTTAAATCTTGGATAACCCAATTCCATTTTTAGCTAAGTGAATTACCCTGAATTATATTAGAACAATGAATGTGTTCTACGTGAGAATGCTACAAAACTCATTTTAAAAAGCACCTACTTAGTCATAGTTAAATCAGTTTTCTTTATCTGATCCAGAAGATTCTCCTACTCTGCTGTGGCTTATGGAGGCAGATGATTTGCTCTTGCCTGTAATGTATTTTTGCAGGCCATCAGTCCTTTCTCCCCAATGGCATGGGGAGACCTTCTTCCCCAGGGAAAAAAATCAATTGAGCAGTTCCCTTGATTAATTGATCAACTCCAACTGAGTCTCACTGCTTAGTTTGCAAATCATAGTATGTCTCAATCTTTGAGTTTAGGCACTCAAATGCTATGTTCTAGGCACTGCCAGTAGCTAACAGTGGAAAAACACTGAAATTCAAAAAGCTATTCCTATTTGCTGGCACTAAGAGGAGCAGCTATTCATAGCAGCCTTTAAAATCACAGTGTGAAGTCTTGGATCACTGAAGTTCATGAGGTTCCTGTATTCAGGCCAAAGCTCTACCTGTGGAGACTGCACATGTGTATAGCTGCTCATGGGCCCTCATGCTGAAATGCGGCCAAATGTTGGCCAAACTGATGTCTCTGCCGCTCCATATGATGACAACAGGACCTCAGTTTTCTGCCAAGATTGAATTATTTTTATTTATATATATACATATATTATTGTTTTTCCCCTTCATCACTTTGGAGTAAGTCTATCCATGGGACGGTGCTGTCTGGCAGGTGTTGGACATTTATACTTCTCTTTCTGTGGCAAAGGCAGAGGGGTGTCTGGCTGGAAGGGGATGGCCTCCATCAGCCTGCAAAACCCTGCACCAGCCCACCCTACCCCTGGCAGGCAAATTGTCAGTGTACACTTGCTCTGTTCCCACTAAATAAAACTGAATTGGTACATGGGAATGTTTGTCTTTGTACTTTTTTTTAATAAATCTGTCCATAGAGCCAAACCAAAATACAGTATAAATATTTCCAGTTCTGTTTTAAATCCACTACAGACATGTTACTGATGTTTGTGAAACACTTTTAGACTGTGGACTAAAAGTGTCTTCAGTATTCTAGCACTAGTCCTTGCCTATTAATTTTTGAGTTGTATTCTATTTAAAAACATACTACTATCAATGAATTTTGGTAGAAATCCTTGTGGTAACCCAACACACATTTTCTGTATATATTTAACTAACTACAGAAGACAGAGTTGAATGCTACATTCATATACTCAGTATTTTAGAAAACATCTGTATTTTTTAAATGTGTGGTTTTAATCTATACACAGAACTCTTTCTGTAGAGCTTCTAATTCTGGTGTATAAATGGGATATTAGTGTGATTTATAATAAAAATTGAAACTGGAAACATTCCTCTTGGCAGGTAAACACTTAGCCTAACTGAGTAAGCACTATTTTAAATAGGAAAGTGGAGGGGGAAGAGAGAAGCATGGCATGATGGTGACAGTGACTTGCCAGTTAAGCAGGATCAATGGAGAATTTGAGAATGATGGTTAGACTAAGACTTTCAAAATTTGATTGTGTTCCTCATTCATGCTCATCCTTCCAGACAGTGTGAATTTATATTTTAAAATTTTGGTCCTTGAGACATAGCACTGTGTCCAGATGCTGCTTTAAAAAAAAGTCCTTAATTTTTGTTTGGTAGGTTAAAGTGGTAAAGAAGAGCTATATTTATATGTGTGTTTGTATATTTATAACCTATCTATAAATTTATCTGTATTTATCTCCAGTTGAAATGCACCATTCTTGAAATAGAGAACAAGATTTGATATGCTGATGAATAGTATAAAAAGTAAGTGTAGGACACTGCTGAAATTTTGTCTTCAAGCTTTCCGAAGACTGGTGAGAGCTTTCCTAGAAATAGTAACTGTTTGAGGATTCCTTGCATCAGAGTGCTGATGAGTAGCTGAAAATTTCATATAACAGAGAAAATAAAAATATTTTTGTCACAGCCACAGTGAATCTGGCAGAAACTCCTCTTACTTAGTAGTTAGCAAGTTTAAATGTGTTTTACACTTTCAAAGTTACTTGACAAACTCACTTCTCAGCGCTGGATAAATGGATCTGACACAACCTGAAATTTCTAACCAGTGGAATATGTTGATATCACTTTCTTTTCACAGAAATGCCAGTCCATTACTCTTAAGAAGAAACATCTATTTTTGCCAGACTTCTCAATAAATTCAGCTGTGCAATACGTTATGTATGTTTATATGTATGTTTAAGTCACCACAGCATGGTGATGACAGAGCTAGAATGTATTCTTTAAAGTATTCTTTTCTGAGGTTTTGAAGGCACAGTTCCTTTCTGTTTGATGTCTGAAGGCCTGAATAGTGGTTAGAATTCCATGACTCTCCTTTTGGTCATGTTGTGATTCGCTGTTTGAAAAACAGTGTTTAGAAAGACTTCTGTTAAGTGTTTGGCCAGTTCTGCCTCCACCAGAGACTGTCTATAGCCTATTTTTTAATAGGAGCAATAGTTCTTTTGTTTATCAGACCTTATCCCCTAAACAACTTAAAACACTTGTCTAACAGAGCTATTTTGAAGGTAATTTAAGCTGTTACCCTGTAGGTTTGATGAGAATGTTGAATTTGGTAAGTCAGGGGGTATTTAGTTTTTGTATTTTACTGACATAGGAGTGTTGCCTGCATGAAAGCTTTCCATGTTGCAGGAGATAGCTAGATTCTTGATGGTCGTGGTTAATTCAGAATTGTATTCATTTGTAAAATTGCAACATATCTGAAGTCCTGTATATAGAAGAGGAGATATTTTTTCTTAACAGGGCAAAACCTTATAAATCTTTCCGTATGCCTATCCTAGTATATCCTACTTCGTGAGACAATAAGGATATTTTTGCACAGAGTGTTTCTGTAACATGTAAATTAATCTAGACTATATTGATACAAAAACTTTAGACACTTATTTTGACAAGCTCTGAAAATGATACATCAGTGATGGAAATGAGAATTTTACCTAATAAATAACATACATTATTCTACTATGTTGAACAGGCCAGGTAACAAATATAGTGGTTCTCCACTCATGAATATATTGATACTAGCAGATAAAAGATATATTTAAGTTCAGAGTTAGTTCTGAGAATTATTTTCCTGATATCAAAATATCAGGAAAAAAAATATTAAGTATGACACTTAGATGATGGTACTTTGCTTTGTTGAAGGAACTGCTTGAATGTAGCAGTGAAGAGTGTTAAGCTTGTTTGCTTCTGCTGTGCAGGTTTATATGGTTCTCTAGGATATCTTTAGTATGACCTCTTATAGAAACAAGCCCCAAAAGAAACAGGCATTTAACTTGGAAAAAACTTCATTTGACTCCCAAACGGAAGTTTGAGAAAGACATGGACTGTTGAAGAAAAGGACATTTCCTGAACCCCTACTGCATGGATGAACTCAATTCTGAGGTTTAAAATGTGTTTCCTACAATTTGACTGTCTTTTTTCAGACTTCTTGGTCTGAGTTTTCTATGATTCTGAGCATTCAAATAAGAAATACTAATGATTCCATTAAGGTCCCAAACTTTCCAGAGGCCTGTAACTCGGAGCAACTGACAATCAAGATGGCTTTTCAAAAGTGTCAAACACCGCAAATGAGTGAGAACTAGGGAGGGGAAAGTGTTGATGTGCTTTTCATGGCTGGTGTCCCTGTCTGACCACATTAACATTGAAACATGTTTTTGAAAGCTGAGCATGAAAATACTTAACCTAAGGTTAGGTAAAGAGCACACATATACATACATATATATTACATACATATATATATATATAAAGAAATATTTATTTTTTAGATCTCTATATCAGATACCTTCTTCTCCAAAAGCTGCTGATTTGGTTATCCACAAGCAGAAAACTCATCACACTGAGTATTCTAATTTTCAGAGTGAAATACTTGCACAATCGCTTTCAATGGCAAAATTCCCACTGAATTTCTGTGTGTGCTTCGGATATTAGTTCAGCTTTCATTTGAGTGTGTTGGTGCTTCTTTATTCTGTCATCTTAGGTAATAATTTGTGGCCGCTTTAAATGGCCATAGAGATTTTTACAGCAAACTTAAAGGTTGACTGAGACTTGGAATTCTAACTCAGTGAGTTTCCATTACTTCACCCGTATTATTATATACAGTATACCACACATGTATAGAATAAAATGTAACCTACCTAGCGTTGGGTCATACTCCCAGATGAACCGTTTTGTCAGGAAGCGTACAACAAGAGCTGAAGGAACAAAAAGATTACACATGAGATGCACAAGCCATCAATTCATCCAATTTTTAAAGTTTTGCCAGAAAGCTTTTCTGTATGAATGTTTAAGTTGCAGCATTTCTGTGAGTGGAATTCAATGCTACTGTTGGGTATAGTCAAGATCTTTTCACTGTTGAAGGCCCACTTACACTTTAGAAGACAGAATGCTTTTGAAAATAAAAATTAACAATTCACATGTAACAAAGCAGAACAAATGATATCACAAAGGTTTCAATTTCTCTATTATTTTCTTTGCCGTGAAAGCTTTTACCATTAAAAAGATGAAACATCCCATCTTTTGCAGAGCTGCGAGCAAGTAACATTTTAAAAAACATTAATTCTTTTGGATGCTTTAGATGTTGCATGGCCAATGAGAAAAGAGTTGGCAGGTCTTGAACCAGCATGCTTTGAAACAGCATAAGTTTTCAAAATTCTTCAAGATCTTTCTCCTCAGATTTTATGTTCTGTGAGCTTAACATATAGTTAACTAAATAGTTTGCTTCTGTATTTCAGCACACTTCCCTTGCAGCTGTCTCTCATATTTTACTTATCTGTCCCTGTGAGCAGTCAGCTATGGCAGCTTATGATCAGCAAATACAATTCATTAATTTAGAGAGGTTTAACTATAAAACTTTGCTTTCTAGAGAAGTGGATAAATAGTTTGCAGTTTATGGAATTAAACTTGACTTAAAACCAACAAGAGCCTTGAATTTCTAGTGGTGTAAATGAAGCATTTACAACTGCCAAGTGTTCAAAATCTGCATTTCTAAGATGGGAACAGAAACATCACTGCATTAACGGCAAATGCAGTGATTTCAGCTATAGGAAAATTTTCCCAAGCTGTCAGCCTTTGGGACTGTGTTCTGTATTTTCTGTAGTGAAGGTAGCCATTTGAAGGTAAAGCTAAAGCCAATCCTGATTCTTCTTGAACGGAGAGTAATAGGAATACTCCACATCCCTTATTTCTGTGCCCAAGAGCAGGACAAGGCTCAAGACTTGACAGAATAGACTTAATTGTTTACAGATTTACAGAACATACGAGTCATCAGAAAGGCTTGCAGGGTGTAGTTAGAGGCTGCTACTAAGGAAATGAGGACAGTACATAGGAAGCAATTTCAAATTAGGTTATTCTATAGGTGAATGTGACAATTTTCATCCAAAGAAACTTTTCAAGACAGACCTTAGGTGCATGTCATTAAACTGGTGGAAGCTATTCTGTAGCTTTTTTTCCGTCTGTACCACGTATTTTCTTCCACATTTTATCTCAGCTGGAATAGTTTAAGCATCTTGATGTTTCAAAAGTTGGTCATAACTAATTGCTAATAATTGGGTCTCTAATAGCTAGTAAAATACACATTTTTTTTTCTTTTTTGTTTCCTCCTCACCTCATTTTGACTGGGGAAGTTATGCAGGGTAAGAATTTTTCTGACATTCTTTCAGAAGGCCCCTTAGCTTATCATTTTTAAAGAAAATGGTTTGAAAAACGCTTCTGGTCCACTGTAGCCCATTAATCTGTTTGCTTGCTTGAGGATGCAGACCAAATAACACTAGACCTATTCCGACTGCACTGTGGTTTTCACAGATGCTCAGATGTGGGTGTAATCCTGGTCCTTCCTGTTTCTCAGCTATCACTATGTTGTTTTTAAGGAGCACCACCCATGAATACAGAGTACTGTTATTAAAAAGGAGAAGAAGAACTCCTGGGGTGACCTTTATTGCAGCAGAGGGAGAAGAGCTGAGGTAGCAGCTCAGGTGGAAGTGAGGAATAAAAAGGAAAGGGGCAATGAAAAGGAAAGGAAGAACTGGTCTATGTCTGCTGAGATGGACCTGGGAGGACAGAGGAATGCTTACATTTGCTGGAAGGGTGAAATGAAGAAGAATAGGACAGATCACAGGTGTAACCCTGGCGAGAAGGGAGGAAGTAGGCTGTATGGGTCTCCAACAGGGAAAGCCTCTCTGCAGAAGTAATTAATAATCATATACTTGGGAGGAAACTCAAAGAAAAGGAGCTGGGGACAAAGCTTGCCATGCACAGGGCCAGATGGAAGTTAGTGGTAGGTCTCGGTGGGAATCCTGAAGAGTCCTGTCAAATGAGTCCCCCACAGCCATGTTCACAGCCCATTTTATGGTGCTTTTCATTTCTACGTGTTTATACAAGGCTGAAGATTAGTAGCTGTATTTTGCAGATGGGGGGAATACGAGATGCTCTTGATCCTCTGTCTATCTTGTTTATAAATGACTGCAAGTTGTTTTGGGCAGGAAGTGTCTTCACTTGTCTCATTAATGGTGCTTGGCAGTTGGGCCCTTGATATCAACTTCTGTATTAAAAACAATATATGTGAATTGATTGAAATGAATCAACAGAAGGAGAACTGGGAAGGCAGTGCAAGTGATCAGGCATTCAGTGAGGAGACCAGCTTGCTGGCTCGCACAGTCTGCCCTGAAAACCATCCCTCTAGAACAGGGATACTACAGTGGAGCCATTTTGAGTTAATTTGCTGCCAGATTACGTCACTCTTGTGTTAATAAAGTAACTTCTGCCAACAGAAGAATCAGAAATGAGAACATTGGGAATTCACTCTACTTAGAGTACTCAGATTTCTGCCCTTGGCATAAACGATTCTTCAAGGAAGGCAGTAAAATTTGAGGGCACTTTATGTTGAATATAAAGAACTGAGATGGGAGCAACTTCCTACTTCACCTTAGCATAGATGTGCTCACCCTGTTTGGTGACCCATCAGCTTTGAGACCTCTTTAACTCATGTTGATAATCATCCAAAAATAACACATTTTAAAAAAAAATCCAACTGCATAGTTTTGATTCAAATTAATATTGAGATTGGCCAAAATACATTATTTTCTAATTAAATTAGGTGACTAATTCTAGTATTAATATTAAAATGGTCATTTCCAGTGCTCATCTATGAAGAGAAAATGTGCTTTGGAGCAGGCAAGATCCATCTCCATGCAGTACGTCATAGAAGTGAATGTTGTGGCCCAGCACTGAGGCTTTTCCAGGGCCTTCCGTGAACATTTATGGCTTGTGAAACACTTGAGCTTGCAGATTTAGAAGGAAAGAATCTCCAGGGGGCTGTAACTTGGATTCCCACTGTGCTTTTCAGAGATGTGACTGTTTCCTAAGGGAATTGATGTAATGTCCCAGCAAAGGAAGAACAGACTCAAGTCTGTTTCCTGCCTTTCATTACACCCTCACTTCCAAGTCAGCTGTTTCACACAGGGTTTAAATTAGGGTAGAAGTTGGCCTTGGACTTTCATTCACTCACGTTAGCCTTCTGACTTAGCCATGTTTCTTCTCCAAGAAAAACTTCTGTCTGTCAAACACATTCACAGTGTAGCTCCACTGAAGACAATGAAGTTATACCAGGAATTAAGTTGGCATATAAATAGAGATTGTCAACCATATAATTAATCAATTTCTTGGGGACTTTCATGGCTGAGTCCCTTACTCAGCTTTAAAAATCTCAGTCCCTATCTTTTGAAACATTTTTTTAACCACTGAAGCTTGCTTTAGATCTTTGTTTGGATTTAGTAATATATAAATGATCTGGCTAGATTTACAATCTGCTTGAACAAATGTCTTCATGAATTTATTAGTGTCCCAGCTGAAACAAGCTTAGCTTTTGGTGGGAGGAAGAATGGAAGCAGAATTTCATTTGAAAAACAGCCCCTTACTCCCAAAGCTACAGAATTCAAAGTTATTCTAAGAAAAATAACAGTTCTTTGCAGTGAAATAATGCAATGGTGATTCTTTGATGCCATGAGAATTTTTGAGCTATAAAAATAGTCTGAAAGTTATCACATCATTAAACATATCAAAAAGTCAGCTCCTGGTGCCATGATGATAGGATGATATTCTTTTTTGTGTATATGTGTGTGTATTGTATATATGTGTATACTCCAATACCCTTTGTGTATTGGATTTTTAATTGTTTTGGCAGCACACAGTATGCACAAGTCTGCAGGATGGCAGATATCTATGTCACTTTGTCATGTAGTACAGTACCTCTTTCAAGAGCTTCATATCCAATTCTGAAAGGGAATGACTTGTTTTAAAACCACTGCCTTGAGACTGTAGTTTTCTTCTAAAACTGAAGTTCTTTCAGGGAAAAAATATCAGTATGAACTTACAATGTGGAGTCATTTTCTGATCTGGGCGATGTTGTGGATGTAAAAATGCAGTCTTTGCTTCTGTCTTGCTATTTATGATCTGTATTTTACTCTGTTTTGACAGTTTTTGTCAACTCGGTGCCATAGGTACAAGTGGTGTCTGAAATGTAAATGGAAGATTTTCTCTGTGCTCCTTGCTCCCTTAGTCTGCTAACTGTGGCTGAGACCCAGCATGATTGCTGTAAGCTAGAAGGAGAGCTTAATAGAACAAGATGAGATTGGATTGGGGGAGGAAGAAAGGGAGACCTATATTCAGTATAAAAAAATGGTCTGTTTCAGCCAGTCTTGCTGTTTCATGCTCAGCATATTTTAATGCATATTTTAATCATTTTCTTACACAGTAATTTCTCTGAAGAATTCACTGTTTAAGCTTGTATGTTTTTTTTTTCTTGTAACAGCATAGTGAGGTGCCCCACTGAATATGATTGTAGAAATATCAAAAGTATGTATTATTTGTAACAGTAAACACAGGCTACAGTTGAACTGCTGAGTTATGAAATGTGTTGTTCTTGCTTTCTTGAGGTTGTATTATTTAGTATAAGTCAGGCTTTTTTCTTCCACTATAATTATGTGGGCTTTGGTTCTGTGCTAGGCATCCAAATGTGTTCAGATATCATTTTGCTCTGACTGGGTATAAAAGAATTGCAGCACCTACCTCAAATTTCTGTCTTAATCCTCATAGCAGGATCATGAACCAAGTAATAGCATGGACCAAACCAAACATCCGACTTAGGCTTTTAAGAAGCACTACAGTACTGCAGCCCTATACTGTGTTATATAAGAAG